GCACAGGGTGAGGCGCGATCTCCGGCACTGCCTTGGCCTCCCCTGCCCGAGGGGGCGTGGCCTCACTCTCGCAGGCTCACGAATGGTGCGATGAAGCCTGTGTCACTGGCTTGAGAGCACACAGACCCTAGGGAGCAGAGCCTTGTGCAGCTGGGAAAAGTGTTTTTGTTTTGTTTTGTTGTTTTTGGAGACAGGGTCTCTCTATGTCATCCAGGCTGGCCTTGAACTCACTGTGTAGCCCAGGCCGGCCTCGAACTCTGAGCAGTCCTCCTTGCCTCAGCCTCCCGAGTGCTGGGATTACAGGTGTGCACCACCATGCCCGGCCTCGGAGAGTTACCATTACTATTAAATGTAGTAAAACCTTTCCCCCTGGCCGAGAACTTGAGAGTTGCTAAATGCAGTTTCTTCTCAGATACCTACCAGAATGAGTTGAATAACCACTGAAGTTTACAAAATTGTACAGTATTTGGCCCTATGCCCCTTAAAGAGAAAGAAAACTGAGTACCTACTGTGTGTAGGTGCAGGCCCAACAGTGAGGAGGACTGGAAGAGGTGGGAGGGGGTACTGGTGATCAAACTCGGGACCTTGTGCTTTCGAGGCAGGAGAAGGAACCACTGAGCTAAATCCCCGGCCCCCTGGAAGAGGTTTTAAAGGAGCTGCCCAGAGAGTTTCCAGGCAGGAACCCCGTTCTCTTGCTCTGGGCTAGTTCACGGGTTCACAGACAGCTGCCGCCACAGGGCTGGGGTGGAACATTTCCTGAGGATTCCTCGGGGCTCCTGGGTTCGGGCAAGGGGTGTGTTTGGTGGCCTTGCCCGGATGGAGGGCCCCATGAGGAGGCCCCTGCCTCACTGTCCCCCTGTGGCCCTGTGCAGAGGCAGATCCAGGAGGAGCCGTTGGATTCACTCTCAACCTCCGTCCGCCAGCAGGCCATGGAGATGCTGACCCAGCTGAGGTGCCCACACCCTCCCACCCCTGTCTCCCGGGGCACCCCCCAGCCTCCGCTGGTGTCCACTGCCTTCATCACCAGGCACCTTGCCCTGTCTCCGCAGTCACATGAGGCTGGTGCTGGGTGTGCAGGACCGGGTACAGCTGGTGAGCACGTGCGTGCACAGCGTGTTCTCGCTGCCTTCGTTGCGGGCCATGCAGGAGCAGGACCAGGCCAAGGCCGAGGCTATCCAGGTGAGGGGCTGGGGCGGACCTCAGGCTGCCATGCACCTGCTCGAGGGCCTGCACATCAAGGGGGCCCAGAAAGCCGTTGCCCTACAGCTCTGTGGCCCGGGAAGACTTACCTAATCTCTCTGGGGCTTGGTGAAGAAGTGAACCCCTGCAATAGAGGCCCCTTCTGAGGGCCCTGCTGGTTTCCAGCAGCCCTGAGGCGTAGATGTCGCCCTGGTCAGAGGCAGTGGCTGGCCTGGAGGGCAGGCTGTGGACTGGATTTAGAGGAAGAGCAATGGACAGGGAGCTGAGGCAGGGAGCTGGAAGGCAGAGCCCAGAGGTCCTGTAAGAAAGCTCTTCACACCTCTCAGGCCGGACACGGAGTGGTGGAGGGGCCCTTAGCATGGGATGAGGGGAGAGCTAGGGTTGACTGGAGAGAATGAGGCAGGAGCGCTTTGGGCTCAAGGTGAGGGACATGCACGTATCCTTTCATTCCCCAGATGTCAGCTGAGTTCTCCACACCAAATGCAGTGGCCTCACAGCAGGGCCTGGGGTGAGGGAGATGGATGTTAGCCAAGGACCGTTTGAATCAATGCAAAACCACACTAGGAGTCAGTGCTGCAAGCTAAGAGCCTGCAATGGGCACGTGGTAGAGGTAGGGTCAGGTTGTGACTGGAGCTGAGAGATTAAAGAAGAGCTAATGACCTGAGGGGGCAGGAGGAGGAGGAGGAGTTCAGACAGAGCCAAGAAGCTGTGTGGAAGGGAGCAGACAGTGTGATGGCAAGGCTGGCAAGGACCAAGAACGGCAAGACAAGAACTCTGGGAAGTGAGGCCAGAGAGTAGGTGGGGGCCAAGCCAGCAGGCAGCGTAGGGCTCGAGTCCCTGCTGGTGCCCAGAGAGCAGGCCCTAAGGAAAGGCAGGAAATCCCCCACCGGGTGGCCAAAGCCCCAGCCCTCTTGCAGTACCTGGTCCTGCCAGCAGAGGGAAATGCTGCACAGCAGTCAGCAGCTCATGGGTGGGATAGAGGAGGTAGGTAGGAATGAGGTTTGCCTGGTGTGCTGTACACCAAAGGGCCATCAGCTCTAGGGTGTGCAGACTCAGGAAGCCTGGACAGTAACCGTCTGAGAGAGAACTTGGAGCCAGCGGCAGCAGGAGAGGAGACAAGGAGGAGAGGGTCTTCCTGGGGTAGCTCAGACCCACTGCCCAGCCTTCTGTTTGTGTCGTACCTGGCTCCATGAAGCCATCCCAGGACAGTGATGTGACCGAAAGACGAGGACCCTCCCCAGGGGGAAGATGGCTCCATGAAGGGAAATGTAGGATCTGTTTGAGTCTAGGTGTTGCATTCCAAAGAATCAGATCACTTC